TAGAGTTTCTTTGCACACCACAATTTGAACCATTGGATATTGTGGATATTAAGTGGTTGTCCTTAAAGGTATCTTTCCTGTTAGCCATTGCTTCTGCTTCATGCCCTGTCAGTGAGTGTGCCATGCTTACGCTGGTTACCAGAGGATTCTGGGGCCATTCTTCGGCCTAATCCATCTTTCCTCCCTAAGGTCTTGTCGCCACAATTTGTGAATCATTCTATTCATTTGACTTCTTTTCAACCTCCTCTTTCACCTTCCGATGCAGGCGGGGGGAGGTCTCATCTTCTCTGTCCTGTAAGAGTTTTGAGGTGCAATGTTAATTCTACTGCTCCTTTTAGGCAGACAGATCAGTTATTTGTCTGTTATGGTGAGGTACGCAAGGGTGCCCCCTTGTCTAAGCAAAGATCATCACGTTGGATTGTTGAGGTGATAAAGTTAGCATACAGTAATTCTAACCAGCCTTTACCAGTGGGTGTTACTTGTCACTCTACTAGGGCTGTCTCTTCATCTTGGGCCGCCTTATGGGGAGTTTCCTTGGCGGAAATCTGTGCAGCTGCTACCTGGTCCTTTCCATGTACCTTTGCGTGGTTCTACAAGGTCAAAGTGGCTGCTTCCCATGATGTGAGTTCTGCAGTCCTTCTGGACGATCCTTGATGTTTGCAGGTGGGTGGCATTCCTCATGACTGTGTTGGTATGTGTCATCCACTAGTGCTTAGCACCGCCTCTGGAGGTCAGGAGGAATGAAACAGAATGCTAGTTATGTATGTAACTGTGGTTCTGTGAATTCCGGATGACCGCCAGAGTTCTTCGAGGCTGGGCATCGAGCTGCTGTGGTTTATATCCTCGCATCTCGGTCGACGTCATGACGTGACTTTGTTGTTATTTTTTCTCTACCTATCTAGCTGACACAGCGATTATCCACTAGTGCTTAGCACCGCCTCTGGTGGTCATCCGGAATTCACAGAACCACAGTTACATACGTAACTAGCGTTTCTGGTTCCGTTCTCCTTCAGGTTGAGCAACTTTACTTATAGGCGGGGCCAGGTACACTGACAGGCGACATGATTAATTCAGATTAACATTACAGTTTAGTAACAGTAATGGGCCGATGTGTGTATTTAAGGATGTGGAAACTTGCAGGTAATTTTCTACTTAATTGTTGTGACTTACCAGGAGACGAATATTAATTGATAATACCTTTCCAAAGGGTTTGCAATAAAGTTCTAGAATAAATGATCAATTATAAAACTATTGTTACCTTCCCTGTAGAAAATCGATAACAGAAGCTTTGAAAACATCTTATTTATTATTGAATTTCTTTTTGGATCATTTTAAATCAATATATTAATTAAATCTATAAATTACAATACGTATAACAAAAACAACAAAACCCTCCTTGTAGGACACAAAAGTGCTTCTTCCTCCAGGGGGCGCCTGAAGGCTCATGCATTCGATTCCTCTATTAAGCAGCGAATGAAAATCTCCATAAAATTATTTAAAAAGTGTTTTCTCCCTTCCATTACTCACAACTAATACAATTTCTCACTAAATGTAAAAAAAAAACAGGAAAACCAATTAACAGATACTTCATACAAAAGAATACGGCTGAGACGCGGCTTGTGTCTGAACAGAATGGGTCTTTATTCAGGAAATTAAAGAAAAAGATTGTAATCAACACCCCATTTAAATACAAAACAAATCAAAATAAGGAACAACATGATATTCAGTTTGCATATCAAAGAGCCATTCAGTAATAATTACAGTCTGAACACTTCATAAACCACTTGTGTGAATCTATACACAAACTTGATTTAGAAACTAGAACATTAACAATATTACAAAGATTTTAGCTTTAAAAATAATTCAAATTGAAATAATATGTTAGCAGTTAGCATCATAAAATTATATATTCATATCTTTCCACATAAAAATACAAAATAATATTAATGACATATAATATGAAAAATTATCCCAAATATTTTGCTACTATTAGAGTAAAATAAAAAAACAAAACAACAAACAAAAAAACAAACCAACGAACAAAAAAGAAATAGAAATATGCATGAAAAAGTTTCTCCTTTTGTTAGCAAAACACTATCCAAAATAACTACAATCATTTACATCAGTACAAAGATATCTGGATTTAAAAATAGTTGCAATGAAAAAAAGGGGTTTCATATTTTCTGACAGTAAAAAATGACACTGTGAATCAGAAATTTGCAAAATATGCAATGAAAAAAATAAATCTGCATTAAAAAGGTATACACTGCAATTCTCACTTTTTTATACAAACATTAGAAACAGTATTGCACGTCACAACACAGATTCGAGGTTAGTAAGCCTTTCAAAATGTGTTATATTCAAGTTTCTGAGTATCAGTGAGGGGAGGGCTGATACCCCTCCATCTAACCAGGGAGAGTCTCAAGTGTTTTCCATGAACATAGTAGAACCCTCAATGCTTCCTTCCTTCAAATTAAATACACGACCAACTTAAATAGTAATCAAATTGATGTGTGCTAAGCAGTAATACATAAATAGATTCGTTACACACACTCACTCACACACACAACTGCACGGATGATTCAAGAAATGGCCTTTTGCGTCTTCCAGTGTGACGCTGCATGTGAACGTAACCATAAATACGTGGGCAAATCAAGTGAGAGAGGAAATAGAAAAATACAATTTAAATCAAATAGTTATCTGTCTACAAAAATAGTCAAATAAATATGATTTTTCAAAACGACGACGACAACGAAAACCCACACATACACGTACGAAGCAACAGTGTTGAACACGGAAATTGGAGCATGCTACTTGTCACCGACAGAGAGAAAGACTCCGATGACGATGAAGCGGCCATCTTGTTTAGCTCCCAGAAACACCATCGCTACTTACTCCGAGTACGCGGCAGATTGCCGTCATCGCTTAAATAGAATCTGGGTCCAGCGTCTTACACAATCAAATAAGTTACTATGCAAAAAATAAAGATATTTAAATTATCCAATAGACTTAAAATCGGTCGCAATTCTTCCACAACCAAATAGTATACAAAAAAGGTGATGTGATACAAAATTAAAGAGACTGTTTTGCGTTCGACTCCAAACGTCAAGAAAAGGGATTGGTTCTCTAAGAGCAGAAAAGAGAGGAGAGAAATCGAAAAGGTAGTGCATCACGTGTCCTCGAGAGTCTGGAAACAGGCGACACGTTGACAAATAAATACACACATATACGCAATAAATAAACACACAATCTCAGCTCACTGTTGACACTTGAAAGGTTAAATCACATACACAAACTCGAGAGTGCAAAAAGAACGACAGAGAGACAGACAGAAAGAGCGGTACAGTACCGAACGACTGGTCGCAGCACCAGCGGCCATTGCTTCTGTTGAGATTGTCCATAAGACTGATCCGAGTGAAAACGCAAATGCTACAAAAATATTCACGACAGGGTTCCTTTCGTGACATCTCTCTCCTCTCTTTTCTCAAGGTCTGTTCTTACCGATAGATTTCGTCCGGAGATTAAACTACGAACCACGCGTACCCAACACACACAGACAAAACGACCACGGGTACGATTCCTTCGGCGAATTCCTACGAACTACACATATCAAAGTCCTGCGCTCTATCGCAATACGAGGGGTGGCATTCAGGGGTGTTCAGGAAGGGCAGAGGTTAAATGTCAAGAGACGATCCTCTAGATCGTAGAACTGAAACCTCAATTCATAACTAGACTCACACGGCACGAAGACGAGACAAGAAAACCACAGGACAGCACACCGTCTCTTGACTAATTATCGAGTTACAAAATGGCAGAACTCACTACTCTAAAAACTAACGTCACTTCTCTCGTAATAGTTTCGTAAAGGAATCATCACAACAATGCATGCAAAGGTTTTACGAAGAATTTTACACAGTTTTTTTTTTCCTTTCAATATTAGTATTGATTATCTTATATATCTAAGTGTTTGACCTTTTTTCGCCTCATGCTACATAAATTCCTCTGTTTATCATTAATATGCATCATGTTTTGTTTGTGTTTTTTTCTATCTTATATGTGCTGGTAACCTTTATACTGCATGCAAATGACGTACAGCCACAAACATGCACGTAAGTTTTCACATTCTGTGTTTCTATGGCGACGATCGGCCATGCCGCGCGAGAGGGAACGGACTGCATTTCTGTGTATGACATCGCCAGTGACGTCACAATGGCATAGAACACCGACACTATCTAATCGTTATATCCTATTTAGCAGCAAAGCTTCTTCTATAGCTTGTGATTAAATTGCAAGAGTAGAGCAATAACAAGCCAGATTAATATTCTGAGGTATTGTCTTTTTTTTTGCCAGTGGAAAATGGAAAGTCTCAGTAATTCGTTATTGAATCATTCCTATTCCTGCTAAGAGCACATTGGAGCGAAACATCAAGGGGGGGGGGCTATTACTCTTACTATTTCTTTTAGTATATTCCGCGGCGAATGTCTCGTTTTCAGGCCGCACATTTTGCTACCTTTGGTTCGAGATCCAGGGCAGGCATCAGAGATTACGTCATCAAGGGTTTTCCAGAGACAATTGCGCACTTTGCCCACTAGGGGGGGATTTAGCAGCAGACGGATACACGACGGACAGAACGAATGAACAGAACAGACAGGCTGCCCCCCCCAAGCGAAAACATTCTCGTTTCTACTTTTTAAATCTCACATATAAAAATAATTTGAAAAAAACTACAAAAAATCAATCTCTTTTTTTTTCTTAATCTCCTTTTTAAAAAAACACGAACGTACCACAAAAACTCTGTTCCGAGCCTGAGATGTACAGGGAGGGAGGAGAAAGAAGTGGTTTGGTGAAATAAACTTGTTGTGAGTTTAAACTGAGGCTTGTAGTGTTTCTGGCTGCTACAAAAGATAAAGATATATTTATATATTTATAGTCATATATATTCTCTATATACTGTATACGGTTATGTACTCTATACTGACAGCTTGGGTTCAGGGGCCAAACTAAGCATCTTTTTCTTCCCGCAGCAGACGTGTTGTTTCTGCGTCGTCTTGCATGCTGCCGCTCCCGGCGCTCCCGGAGTCCCCGTCTTCAGTTCCAGCGGAAGTGGATCTGGCGGGGGCGGTCGGCTCCCTCTTTGACCAAGTAAAGTTCAGGGCTCTAGACTGCGAAATTTTTTTGAGAATGTGCGAGTTAGAATTTGACGTTGTCGGATTTGTGCGAGTGCATGGTCTGTGCTGGTCCAAAGCGTCTGCTCCATACAGCGCGCGTTGCAGAGCTGTGGCACATTGGAGCAGGAGTCCGATTTCACTGATCACGTGAAGAGAGTGACAGAGGCACTTTCCCAGTGCTTCAGGTGTAGAGCCTGGTTTATACTTGCCATGTCAGCATGAGCGCGAAGGTGCGCGCAGCACACGGCAAAAATTACACAAATATTATATACAGTATAATATAATAGTATATACACACCTCTTATCTTGTTAATTGGGTTGATTACTGATTGTGCACCTCTCGTGTTAATTAGGTTAATTATCTGAATGTGCTCCTCCTGAACTTTGTTAATAAAACATAATTTTGTGTAGCACACGGTTTGCGTTCGGCCACGTGCTTGTACTGTTGTCTTGTGTTGCACGCAGCTCGTGTTTTCGCCTGCTGCTTTTATGTCATGTCATGTCATGTCTTGTGCTAAAACAGCTTGTGTTTTTCATTGGCTGCGTGCTTTCATGTTGTCACATCTTGTGTGAACACACGGCTTATGAGTATTCTCATTAGCTGCGTGTTCCTGTCTTGTTTTGTTCAAGCACATGGCTTATGATTGTTTTGCTGGCCATGTGCTTGTGTTTTTGTTTTGTGTGAGCACATGACTTTTTGTCTTGTTTGGTTTCTTGAGCCATGTGCTCTCAGGTCTATTGTCTAACCCCACCCACCTTGTTACCTGATTATTGGTTAATTTGCCCCACCTGTGTTTCCCTCATTACCCTCCTCATTTTCTCTCTATTTATTCTCCTTGTGTTTGCAGTCCTGTGCCAGATTGTCGTTGAATGTCATATGTATGCCTCGTGTCTTGTCCAGCATTGCCAAGCCTTGCTAGTCTTGTTGCGGGTCGGTTTCCCCTACGGGGTAGTTTCTGTTTGTTTTGTTTTATTTCATTATTAATAAAAGTCCTATTTGCTCCTCCGATTGAGTCCTTGCCTCATCCCTGCACCCCCACCCTTGACGGGTATATAATACTCTTGCCCTTTTTGATTCTGTCTGCCGATCGTCGACCTGCGCTAGCCCTAGGACTATTCTTGTGTTTTGCCCACCATATACCTGTCTGCCTCTATCTGACCCATGCCTGTTTTGACCACGTCTCTGTCTTCTCCACAATAAAGTTTGCACATGGATCCGCACGTCTCACGTCTCGTCAGCCCCGTAACAACATGTGGTGTATGCCATGCCTTATTCATTTTTGTTAAACGTTATGTACTAAATGTTGTCATTGTAGCCTACTGTTTTATTGTTGTTGTGCTTTTTAATTAAGAATAACAATGAATCCATCTTTTGCTTTAGTTTTGCAATTGAAAGGTGTGTGTGTGTATGTGTGTGTTTGTATGTATATGCACAAAACTAACAATTATCTTTTCTTGTGAAATGTGACAAAATCATAAAGTGAAAGCGAATCCGAAGCCCGACACCGACTTATAACATAGCAACAGAGGAACAAATCACAGATGAATAAGAACGGGTTAAATGTTAACCACTTTCGTTACTATAAACTATGATAAAAGTTTATCAGCATGCATCGATTTAATCCCATGTTGTAGCAAAACAAAAACAAAAATGCGAACAAATTGTGTTTGTGCGACAAACTGAGAAAGTTAGTCGCAAAAGAGCGACCAGTGGAGGCAATGAGTCTAGAGCCCTGAAGTGCTGTCTATTTACCCGTTTGTCGATGTCGCCATGCTGCAGCTGGACGAATCGGGCGCTGATAGCAGCGATGTAGCTCTGCTGATTGGAGAAGGCCACACGTCCCGCCCCCTTTGGGTACTTAAGCTCTGGATCAGTGTCAATGCCTGCATAACACACTCCACCATACAAGCGGTCCATGATCATCGCCAGCTCCACTGCAGAGAAACATACCATTAAAGTCTATTTAATAAAAAAAAAAACACATGGACATAATTTGAAATTGTCACATCGGTTAAAATGAAATTAATACATTTAAAAAATGTAAGACTATTGAATGGAAGAATATATTACTACAAACACATTGTCATTTTTTAAACTTTTTTTTTAACTAACTTTTAAATACTTTTTGAAATTATAAGTTATGAAATTAGTAGTTATGAAAACGGCAACATTTATATATTTAATTCATTTTAGATTATTTGTTGTGATAATTGGCATCTCTTCACATTGTGTACATCATATGCAGCAATTTATAACGCATACAACAACTAGTGCTTAGCGTACCAGCTCTGAGTGGACGTGGCACTCCTCCTACAAAGATGGTTTTGCGAGGGTCCAGTGGCTGAGATCCGTCCATCACAAAATCACTGTCACTCAGATTCCACGGACGAATCTGGACCTGAAAAACCACATACAGATCCCACATATAAAACACAGTGTACATGACAACATAAAAAAGAATTGCACGTATTTTCATTAAATTTGCACTTGCAGTGTACTTCCACATTTTCATGATTTTTAAAATATATTTTGTCATGCTTTAAATGGCACCTATTATGCCCCTTTTTACAATATGTAATAAGTCTCAGGTGTCCCCAGAGTGTGAAGTTTCAGCTCAAAATACCCCACAGAACATTTACTATATCATTTTGAAAATGCCTGTTTTGAGTGGAAGCATAAACACGCTGTTTTCTTGCATGTCTCTTTAAATGCAAATGATATGTTGCTCCCCGCCCCCTTTTCCAGAGAAGGGCTGTGCCTTTATAGCTTGTACCTCAGATCTCTGCTAAAAAAAACATCAGTTTGGTTTTGATTATCACGTCTATCACACTGAAAACGTGTTTTAAAGGGGACCTATTATGCAAAAATCACTTTTATAAGGTGTTTGAACAAAGTTGTGTGGCTGCAGTGTGTGAAAACAACCAGCCTGTAATGGTAAAAATCCACCCACTAATTTTTTTATAATCACAATAAATCATAAACAGTCTCTCAGAACAAGCAATTCCAGATTTCCTGGTACCTTTGAGCCTTTGAGACCTTTGAGTCTCATTCAGCAAAATTAACGAATCTTTTTTTGAGTAATTTCTTTCATTTTAGCAAAGTATAATTCAAATGTTACGTGTTACTTCCCTAACACGTCTACTACTTACGCAAACGCTGATCACACTACAAACAATACAAAACTGCTATAAGAAACAGAAAAGATTCATTCATTGTTTACCTGGGTCTTCAGTCTATGATTAGCTCACCTCACCTCTTATCTGACAAGTCTTCGGGTTTGAGTCATTCGTTCATCACGTGACAGCCCCATAAACTTAACCAATGCAGTCTGAGCCGGAAAGAGAATTGATTAGTTCATTAGGGCTGTCACGTGATGAACGAACGACTCGGAAAAACCCGAAGACTCGAACCAGCTGAACTGCTTGACTAATTCCAGTACAGAACCTATAGGATGTTGCGCATGCGCTACTGAACGAATCACTCCCCAAGACGACTTGTTATTCCCGAGTCACATTAAAGATTCGTTCAAAATGAACGAATCATTCAAGAACGACCCAACACTAGCGAGAAGTAGCAGTCCGCCATTACTGGAGATATACAACATCAGTGCCAAAGAGGCATTACAAGTGTTTTGATTTGGAATGCACCAATGAACATAGGAGCTCCACAGACTCCCTCCACCTGAGCCACTAAGGACACTGTGGTTAAGTTGCATTTTCGAAGGAAATGTACCGAAAAAAAATCGATAAAGTCATGCCAATCATTTCACACTGGACTGCCTCACAAACGCTGGATTTTCACACAGCCTGGTTCTGAAAGAGGGATCAATGCCAACGCTTCGTGCGCGAACGTCAGATCCAGACAAAGTAAGCGCTTCATATTTTGTTTTGAAATTGCCTTTCTGAAAGATCTTCTTAGCACTCTGTAAGGCTAATGTTGCTAAAGCTACAATCGTCTCTGCCTGTTTTCACTGATGCTGCCTTCACGGGCTACCAGAATGATCGTAAATAGGAATGTGGTCGTTAAAAATGCATATGAAAGCAATGGGAGTCGATCGCTTGAGAGTTTCTGACAGTTTCAGTGCGTGAGATTGTTGTGTGCTGGCGGGAGCATAAGCTCTTGAAGCTCCGCTCTCTTCTGAAAGGGGGCGGAGCACCAGCTGATTTGCATTTAAAGGGACAAAGACAAAAACAGCGCGTTTTGGCTCATACCCTAAAAGTGGCAACTTAAACAAGCTATAATCAATGATCTGTGGGGTATTTTGAGCTAAAACTTCACGTATACACTCTGGGGACATCAGATACCTATTTTACATCTTGTAAAAAGGGGCATAATAGGTCCCCTTTAAACCATATCAGTTTAAACTTCTGATATACGGTTTCCTGAGCGCACACATCCGAAGCGAACACACAGAAAGCAGCTGTCACACGGCATGTGAGTACCAAACTATGTTCTCTTTCATGTCTTACTGTGCTTAAACTGTCAAATACACGCAAGTGTATGTTAAAAACACATGAGTTACAAAAACAGTCGGTTATGTCTGTGAAGGTAAACAGCTGGGAAAGAAATCACATGTTTATATTAGATCTGTGTATTAAGTGACAGCAGCGTAATTTACAGTATACTGCTGTCTACACTGTTAATATGACCCAAATAATAAAATAAAAACAGAAAATCTCAGTTAAAAGAAAAGGGCCCGTCAACAGTCGAGGGCTGGGCTTGTAAAATGCGATGTCACATTTGACAGATGCTAATATTTTATGGGGATTAAAAAAAGGAACGGGAGGATTTTTAGCATTATAGGGTGGTTGTGTACACACACTGCCAACACACATTTATGTTCAAACAACATGTAAAAGTGAATTTTGCATAATAGGAGCCTTTTAAAGGAGTACACTTATTTTGATGTGTTAAATAACATCCGTCCCTTTTGGTTTAAATATCTGAAGACTTCAGACTCAAATGAAAGAATAAACACACTTTCCTCTCATGACTGAGATGGTATCATGGACTCTGGCAGCATGTGAATGTATCTGGACTCACGGGCTTGTCTTTGATGGTGGGGCTGGACACACACAGGTAGAGTTTCCCGTCCTCCTCCAGACAGGCTTCGATCAGCGCCTGAACTGAGCTCTCCTCTTGGAACAGGAGGAAGGCATAACCTAGACAAAAACCCACAACAGTCAATCACTGTAGCCATGACTGCTCTGTGTAACATGCGATTTCTGCCTGAATGAATAAAAACTAATCACAAGAACCAGAGGCACTGGGAGATTCTTGCTAGTTCTAGAGAACATTCATTATTACATATTCAATCATTTTATTTAAAACATTTAAATTAGTACACTTAAAATGTACTAAATAATAAAAACAGTAAGATAATTCTAATAGTTCTACTATGTGAAAAACAGTAATAGTGTCTAGTATAATGTATGTACATGCAGGGTTCTGTTGCTGTGTTTGCTATGAATGTGGTGATTTTTCTAGAAGTACCTTTAGGGGGGAAGTAAGACTTGCTCTCTGCTTTGTGTGGCCAATCAACCACCAGATGACCAAAGCGCCGAAAACTGCTCGTGATTTCATCTGTGGGAAATATGAGATCGTGACAATCAGACAGAGACGAGAGAGAGCAGCAGGAACTGCTGCAGATCCTTTTTTTCATAAAGATACATAATGATTTTTATGAGGTTAAGAACTTTAAAGCTGGAAAATTCAGTGTGGCCCTGATCACTAAGCAAACCCTGTTCAATATATCTGCAAGGTGAAGTTCACTGAAAGAAATAATTTTCCTCAAATTCTCCTCCAAATGAAAATCAGCATCTCTTATCAGCAGCAGCCATTTTGTCTGCAGATCTGCACTCAGTGGAGGTTTTAGGTTTTATGTGTCTCAGTGCTCAGTAACCTGCCACCTTCATGCAGCTTATTGTTTTTATAAAATGGTTACTACATAGCTGGCCAGGTGTTATAAGATAAACATACAGTAACAAAAATATAATAATTGATTGATGATAAATAATAATCCTTCCACCAAACAAAGTATTTCTTCAGTAATGTTTAGCAAAAAGACTACAAAATGACTATCAGTTTTATATAATATAATATAATAAAATATAATATGACTAACAAAAACAGTGGAGTTGTACAAACAAGATGCATTCCTGCTTTCAAAAACATCTAGATGGAGTGCAATAATACAGTATGTAATTTTAGAATTTATATATATATATATATATATATATAATTATTATTATTATTCATTCAATTAATTGGACTGCCATAAGAGATTCTGAATTCCTTTCAAAAACATCTATGCGGAATGCTAAGGACTGGGAACGAATGAGGGGTCTTGAGGTGAACATTCTAAAACATTTTTTCCAAATTTGACATCATTTTAAATATCGCATAGACATAGGTATGTCACATATCATTCAAAAATCATCCTTAAATACATGCATTACAGTTCAAAAGCTCTGTCAAATGAACCTTCATCGATGTCAGGGGGCAGTCCACCCACAAACACTTTGCGGGAGAACCTCTCGATGCGCTCCCCGTTCTGATGGGGGTAACAGTGAGGAGACCCCAGGACCCCCTGGTTGCCATGGCCGTCGTCTAGAAGGCCGTCATCAATGGGGAAGAGGGAGGAACGTCCTGTTAAAAAGTAAATGACAGGTGAGGACACTTGTTTTCGCCTGGTATTAACATCCATCTTTGGTGATCTGATCAGCATTACACATCTCAAATGCAACTCTGGTGACCACTATAGAGGAAAGTCTCTAAACAAGGGCCCTTATTTTAGTGCAATGAATATATATTACATTAACAAGTGGTTATTCATGTCTAGGGTGCAGTAGGACATTTGACATAGCACATTTGTTTCTAACTACCTCTGAATGTGGTTTGAGTGATTGGATCAATCTGAACCCTGTTCACTCTTGTATTTAACGCTGTCCGATTGTGATCAGACCACCTGAGATCATACCAATGTAGATCATACCAATGTAATTCATTTATGTGTGTCAATGCATGTATGAATCATGGCTTGTGTCAGTGAACTGGGGCTCTCAGTCAGTATAAGCCTCAAAAACACAAGTAAGCCTCCATTATATTGATAAACTCATCAAATTGTTGCTGGCGGTCAATGAAGAGTTCACAAAGAGCATCGTACACACATATACACCATACACCGAATACTGCCATGCTAACACAGATAGCGTAACAAACAGTGGATTTTACCTCGTCGTCTCCCATAGCTCCTGGCTGCATGTGAACACAAACAATACAGGACACTATGAAACAACTGACTGAAAGCTTAACTTCATGTTTGTGTTAATACAGGCAAATGTTTATTGATGAAATATTCACTACAGCTGATCATCATGGTCTGGATGCTGGTGTTCCCTAAGGCAACAGATATACTTGACAGTAGTATGCAGATGGTGATATGACCAATATATATGATATAATAATTTCTTGCTGAAAATAAGGTTGTTACAATGCCCAAATTTTAGATACCAGTAAAACTGATACAAATTTTGATAGGCTAATTGGATTTGATTAACAATAAGGACACAGACAGCAGCAGGTTTATTAGGCTGCTGTCACTTTAAGAC